CGAGCCGTTATTTATTACACCACTACAACTCACCTCCATTTACAGCACCTCGGCTATAAGGGCTCATTACTTGCCAACCTCTTCTGCCGTCGTACAAACACTTCCGTTTCATTGTTATGGATTACCCGCCAGTCCCTGCAGTTGGATTGCAATTAAATATTGTTTACATAGCGTTTTCCCTTCACAAAATCTGTTCAACTGTGAAACCACATAATGGACAGAATGAATGACGTTGTTGACATCAGCAGCGGAAGAAAACTCAGAGACAAGCAGCTATTTATAAATGCAAAACTATTTTCAACGTTTATAAACTGTCTTGAAATAAGAAATACCATTTCTTTTCTATTGAAAAGAATTCCTGTATTCAACCATATGATCATGACAGCTTCCTATAATTAGCAACGTTTCTCCTTTTACTAGCTTTTGGCCCCAGCTTTTTTTCTATTCACTTTGAGCCCAGCATTTTCATTGAGTGTTTCAATTTTCTTGGTGATTTTGTGGCCGTTGTATCAACTTCACTGTCATTTTCAAGATTTATGTCGAATTCACTTGCATATTTATGGGCTTCTGATACATAATAAAACTATTATTATTATTATTATTGTTTTATTTCCTTTGATTTCTGATGTCTACTCATTTCTTTCCGGGTCCCGCCCAGGGACTTAAGGTTAGAATAGCATCATGATATTTTCTACTGGAAAAAAAGTATTTTTTTTACATAGACAAGGTGTGGGCTGTACACGTGAGAAAATTTTTTTGTATTTCATTAAGGCTTGAATTTCCAGGAATCAATTAGTCTATTGGAATCTTTTCCAAACAATTTGAGAGAATCATTATTATTATTACTATTATTATTATTATTATTATTATTATTTCCTTGATTTTTGTTGTATACACATTTCCTTTCGGGTCCCAACCAGTGACCTAAGGTCAAAAATGGCTTCATGATATTTTCCACTGATCATTTTTCCACCTCTGCAAAAAAAAAAAAAACAAAACAAAACAAAAACAAAAAAAAACCTAAGATCACACACATTTAACATAAATAAAACTTTCCTAATGTGTGAGCTTACCTTAAAGCATGGAAATGTGTCTATTGGAACATTTTCCAATTAATCCGAGTGCTCTAAATACCAATGGAATTATTGATGTCATCATGTGCCACATTTTTGAGGTTTCCATTTCAAGATCCTTGTATTTTGATACTTTTTGGAGATCTTCAAAGATACATTACAATTTTTAGGAACTGCGATGTCAATAAGAAAACGCATTCTGTTTTTGTGGACTTTGATCACGATGTCTGGGCGATTAACTTTGATTGTTCTGTCTTTGTGTATTGTAAAAACCCATACATTTATTACAGGTCCAATCCCTGCCATCGGCTCTGTGTGATATTCATACCGTTTCTTTCAATTTCCTTCCCGTAAGAGTTGCATATTCTGCAGTCCAGATATTGGCTCACTCTTTCATGCCGATTTTTATATTCAGTGGGTGCAATCTGATACAAGATGGTCAATTGTTTCTAGATATTTATCACAGAATCTGCATTTGGGGGTCAACACAATTTTTCAGACTGTGTGCTTGGTAATTTCTAGTCAGCAAGCACAGGACCAATTCCTCTGCAGTGAGAATAAAATCTTCAGTTTCAGCATTTAGCCCTGCACTACGTAAACACTGATAGATACGGCATTTGTCTACACTATCTTGTTTGGTAAGGGCAGAGTATTGACCATAAAGAATCTTATCTTGAAATCGTTCCTGCATTTGATACATTGTTGCATTACTTTCTTCTTTTGGGTTCTTTGCATCTTTTCACTTCCTTACTTCCATTTTGAATTTGTTGGCTTCCTTTATTACTGATTAAAGTTTTTTTTTTATTTCTTTTATTTTTTGACATGGATTATCATCCAGTTTTCTGAAGTTTCTAGGTATCTTTAAAGACCGATTGTTGTAGTTTTGTAAGATTTATTATTATTATTATTATTGTAAAAAGTATTATCGTAAAAAGGTACCGGCAACGTTCATCGGGACCAGCAGATATATATATATATATAAATATGCCTCAGCACATTAGTATTCTCAACCAGTTGAAAGCCGCAGAAGAAAGAGATGTAAAAAAAACTAACTTGGGAGTTGACAGCTCAGTTAATTGTTATTTTTGATCAGCTGACCAGCCATTTACTGCCTTTAGAGGTGGCTGTAAGTAAACCATTTTAGGAAAACATTGAAACCAGGGGATGGAAGATTCAGACAATGACTTGACACTCACCGGCGAATCAAACACTCCGCCATTGCCCAAGTGTGTCAAGAAAACTTCAACAAATGAACTAATTATCAATTCTTTTAAGAGTTGTGGAAACATTTCTTAAAGTGCAGTTCACACTGCACAAGGCTCGAGAGCTTTTCAAGCTAGAGGGTTACATAGTAAGAGGTAAGGTTTATGGAGATATATAGGGGAGATAATGGTTAATCCTAGACATGAACAGGTTAAGATTGTAGTGATCAGGGAAACATCCTTTTGAGAGTCGATTTCACAGAGCAGTGGCTCACGGGAAGAAGCTGTTCGAGTGGAACTTATATCTCACCGATGGAATACGGACGGAATGTGGATGGTTTGCTACAATGTGAGTGGCATGGCGGGCCCTAGCCTTGAAGATTAGAACTGGCGTAACCAATGAATGCAGTTCATTCCAGCAGTGAGAGGATTGCCATATTACGTCTGTGAGAGAGGGATTGCCGAGTGGCGAATGATTTGTCACGCACAAGCACTCGAGGACACTTTTGGGGGCTCTATCGATACTGGAAAGTGAGGACCGGGCGGTTCCTGCCCAAATATGCAATGTTCTCGATGGATCAGAAGATGTCCCAAGACAGTTACAATAGAGACGATAACAAATTAAACATTATGCCGGTAAAGCTTATTATGGCGTTGTTTCTTTTGTTTTTGTCACAGAACAATAAGTGTAGAGTAATTGGTCGTGATTAAATGTAATTAGCAGAAATGCTCAACAAATAGAATTGACAAAATTTACAATAAACAATAATAAGAGAAGAAAAACGACAGGGCAAAAATAATATTGAAAAACAATATATGAAAGGCAAAGCAACAGTAATAAGGCAAGACAACAGTAATAAGGCAAGGCAACAATAATAAGGCAAGGCAACAGTAATTAGGCAAAAATGTTTTTGCTAAACAAATGCTCTAAAACGCTCTACGTTTTTAAAAGAAATTGATAGTATTTTACAGAAGCAACCAAATATATATATATATATATATATATATATATATATATATATATATACACTGATGGCTAAATAAACATTGATAAAGTCGGAAAAAAGCGTACACGGAATCGTTTCCCAACCACAATATAAAGATCTTTTCAACAAACGAAAAACAGCCGTCAAACATTTTGGCCTTTATATGAAAAACATTATATTCACTCGCCTAACCTTTGAATCTTCTCTGGGAATGCCACCTTGGCTAACAAAACAGCCAATAGTTTTGCTAAACCGTGCCAAACGCCCTAAAACTAATAACAGTCCATATAACTTTTTAGAAGAAACTGATAATATTTTACAGGTGCACCCAAACTATATGAACATATATACACTGATGGCTAAAAAACATTGATAAAGTCGGATGCTCAGCCATTCTTGATGGCATAACGCTCAAAAAACGTTTACCTGACAAATCCTCTATTTTAAGTGCTGAGGCTATAAGCATTGACTTAGTTTTAGATTCCAATAATCAACGACAAGAGAAAGAAAACAACACGACAAACAATATGTACCAGGCAAAGCAACTGTAATGAGGCAAAAGTTAAAAAAGTAAGAATTAGGGCTGGCACACAAAGGGAGATACAGACAAATGGCCCGCAGCATTCTGACTTCAAGACAAGAAAGAAGTACGTCGGATACAAACGAGAAGTGGCTTCTTCTATTCCTTATGAAGAAATCCCAGCATGCACCTGTTTGTTTTATCCATAAATTTGTGAAAGGGATATTTTTGTAGTCATTCCTAAAGTGATATGTGAAAACTTGTTGAATGTTGAATATTTAAGTTTTGGCATTTTACTAATTTACGTGAGCACAAATGAAAAAAAAAAAGATCAAAGGAAAATCCGTTTAGTTTATCAATTTAGAAATGACTGCAAAAACACCCTCTCCACAAATTTATAGACAAAACATACAGATGCATGCTGGGACTTCTTTCTAGCCAATAAGATAGGCCACTTCTCGGTCTCATCCGACTTAGTTCTGTTCTTTCTTGCCTTGAAATCACAATGCTGCGATCACTTGTCTGTATTCCCTTTTGTGGGTTAACACCATTCATAGTTTGTGAACATTTTGCCTTATTACTGCTGATTCGCCTTATTAATGTTGTTTTGCCTTGCAAGTATTGTTTACTTGCTTAATATTTTTGCCCTTTTCTTTTATTATTATATTCACTGACCGAAGCATACTTATAATAAACCTTTCACCACAATACCATATTAATACCAAAGACACATCCTTACCACAAGTACCAGAGCAATGTATGCTCTCCATGAGATCCTAAATTAATTTCCCGTATTTACAAACATGTGGAGCAATCTCTTTAGGAATGACTGTAAAAAATACCCACTCCCCAAATTTATAGACAAAACACAAATGCATGCTGGGATTTTTTTCTAATCAATAAGATAGGCCACTTTTCGGTCTTGTTCGACTTACTTCTGTCCTTTCTTGTTTTAAACTCAGAACGCTGCGGTCGCTTGTCTGTATCCCCCTTTTGTGTATTAAATTTCGTTAAAACGAATTTTCATTTGCCTTTTGAAAAGGCTCTTGCGAAACTTCAGCAGTTAAATAAAACATGCTTTGTCGGATATTTCACGCTAGCAATTTATCAAAACGCTAAACGTTTGCCCTTATTTCCTTTGATTTATATTCAACTGGAGTGCTAGTTGGCTTTTTATATGTTTTTTGTTTTGTTTTCAGTTGGGATATTTTGTTACTGCTTACGGCCATATCACGTTGCAACACCGGTTCTCATATGATCACCGAAGTTACGCAAGGTCGAGTAAAGAATATAGATGGATGACCGTTTGGGAATACCAGCTGCTGTAAGCTTAGAAGGAAGAATCGGAGAGTCGAGTTCGAATTCCAGTCGGGTTCGTTATATTCACGTACGGGCAAATACCCTTGGAAAAGGTATGTATCCATCTCTTCTCCCGGCAACTTTGGGTTAAATAGCAGAACAAGCTGCGTTCTTGGTTGGCAAGCAGTCTGATGCAGAAAGTAATAGAAGCCTACAACTGAAATTCTTCTGATAAGTCAAACATGAACCGAAAAGAGATAAGATCGTCCAAGCGTGCATCGCGCATGACGCCCAAGGAAGAGGAATTTATTACTGTAATTTCTTAGGATATATTAGCTATTGTGTTTTCTTGTTTTAGATTCAGCGGTAATATTAACTTTCTTTTCATATGCAGTAAGGTTTTCTGTTACAGACTAAAGTGATTTTGCATATGTTTTGTAATGTGCTTCTAGCTTGCTTTTTATATACAGTAATATTTTCTGCTACAGATTAAAGTATTTTGCAATGTTTTTAACGTACTTCTAGCTTGCTTTTTATATACAGTAATGTTTTCTGCTATAGACTAAAGTATTTTTGAAATGTTTTTTAATGTATTTTATTAGCTTGCTTTAAACATTTGATGCTTAAATCCGCTGAAAGGTTTTTTTTTTTTTACAAATGCCTTCTTGAAATATGGAAAACTTTCAAATACATTCCTGTGTTTGTTATCGCGTTAAATATGTTAGTTGATTGAAATATTTATGATATTACTGTGGTATAATTTTTTAAAACATAATTGTTCAATTTTCTTGTTTAAATGCGACGTTTGATCTTTTGGGGATTTTCAGAACAAAATTGCATATTCCTTGTGTTAGAACACGTCAATATCACATATTAACTGTAATAAATATGAAGCAGATTTTTAAATAAAACCTCCAAATTTATTGGAATAAAATATAATGTTTCGATTTCCACATAAAACCTCCATATTTACTGTTAAAAAATGTTTTTTCATTTTCCATGTCAAAATCTAACGTTTTTATGATAATATAGACTCTTGCGAACATTCTTCAGTGTAGAATTTAATGTTTTAATTTCATATTGAAAACTCCATATTTCTTTTGGTAAAAAGACACTCCAACGATTACTGAATGAATTCACATTGATATTCCATTTGTTTTCTGCCAAATTTGCTTCTGATTTCCTCGGGACCCATTTTGAATTCTTTCATGTTTTGAATTCTTTCAGCTTCCGAGTGGAAATTCTTTAAATACATCTGATTTGTTCACTTGTAAGCAGTTCGTTCTCCGATTGCCAAATTGGTGATTCCAGGTTTATATATTCCAATAAGGCAAAAGAAACTGCTTCGAAAGGATGTAGACAAGTGGCCGTTCAAGATAACATTCATTTCACGGTTTGATACGAAAGACTGGATCATTTCAAAATAGTGTCCGAAGACAGCGTAAATTTTCAGCTTATGGAGAAGACCTGAATACCAGACTCTATCAAAGGCTTTCAAGACGTCCAATGCAACAGTCCGGGTTTCACCGTTTTTATCTAGAGCATGATAGACTCTTTCCACAATTCTGGGCAGAAAAATTGTTTATCACGACAAAATGAACCAAATTTCTTGGCAGCTGACCGAGCAATGGATTCAATATAGACTTTCTACTTTATGTCAGCTGATAACGTTAGGCTGCTGATCTTCTCTTATTCCATTTTCATTTCTTCTTCTTCTTCTTCTTCTTCTTCTTCTTCTTCTTCTTCTTCTTCTTCTTCTCTTCGTATTTCATTTATTCATCTTCCATTTATTTTTCTTTTCTTCTTTTTAATCCATTCTTATTCTTTTATTCTTCATCTCTTCCTCTTCTTTCATTTCTTCTTCTCTTCGTCTTTCATTCCTTCTTCTTTTCTCTTCTTTTTCATCTAATCTTCATCTCTTCTCATTTCCTTTATTCTTCTAACCTTCTTTCATCTAATCTTTTTCCTTCATCTTTCATCCAATCTTCTTTCATTTATTCTTTCCTTTGTTCTTCACCAGAGCTGACTCCTCTTTTTTCCTTCCCTATATTTCTCCCCCCGACTCTCAATTGAAACTTCCTCTTTTTCTTCGATTTTTTTCCTGTTTCCTGTTCCTCCGAGACAGAGGGATATGCAACTTACCTTCCTTTCTTTATAGATGATGCGAATCTCATAGGCAGATATGCAACGCGCGACGCTCTAGCCCTCCACCCCATAAAAGCTTAATTTTAGTGTTCAAAAAAAAAAAAAAAAAAAAAAGCGGGAAAACAACATTTAAACTACGGAAGAAAATACAACACATTAAGTGATTAAACTGGAGTATTGAGAGAAATTAGTCAATCATGACAAGAATTTCTGCTTCTTTGATTTCCGTGAATGTTTGGTAGAATTGTTCCGTTTTAAGATTCAACAATCGTCAGCCATCTTCCTTTTGACCCATCTTCTTTGATGCCATTCTTCCTAAACTTTAATGTCCTTGTAGAATCTTTCAATTTGCTCATCACTAAATATCAATCAAATTAAATTGTGTCGCTCACAAACTCTATTTCGATCACAAATGTTTGTCGCCAACTCTGCAATTCCTTTATATCCAAAGAACTTATTTATTCCATTCATAACTGAGAACAAATAAAATAACTGTCATTATCACCGTGTATCATAATAATATCAAAGCATGTGTTTGAGTAATCAGGAATTCAGTAGCATTCATTGTATTTTTCATGAGGCATTCAGAATTAATGGGAATGTTGGATATAAATAGTCATTTTGTTTTTAAATATTCACGGTCTGTAGAGCAAAATGCGGAGCTTACCAGTGCAAATGGACTTGATTTTTGAATTGAGCGCGTTAAAATTAGCTGAGAAAATGTATACGTTTGCTTGAACTAAAACATGTACGAGACGGTGTAATATAAAACAGTTTAACTGACTTCATTGGAAAATATCGTCTTTCGTTGTATTTTGACAGCTGCCATATCAGCATGGATTTAAAACAATATTATCAAAAGTAACCTGCTTTGTTTATTGATTCTACTACTGAAATAAAATAGCCGACATTATCAGCAAATTAGGCTTTTGTATTTTAAGTAGGAATTAGGAAGTATTTTGTAGGATTTAGAGAATAGGAAAATTTAATTAGAAACAAAGAAAACAGTGCTGATTTATGATGTAATATCGATGCCCCTATATACTGCCGAACACACGGATGGAGAAGAGACTTCAGACAACAGATGTGCGGATCTACAGACGATTTCTGAGAATCATATGAACTAAATATGTGAGCAGCAACGAAGTTTTAAAGAAACTGGAAACAAAAATGACCCTAATACTTAGAATTTGAAAGCAACATTTAAAATTTCAAGAACACATAATGAGGAAAGAGGGGTTGGAGAATTTGACACTCACGAGACATACTGAAGGCAAGAGAGGGACTGAGGAATAAACTGCCTAACAAGCTTGAGATGGTGAAAAGACAAACCTTATTAAAAGCTAGTAATGATAAGAAGTTATGGAGAGTCATGATTATCCAAGTCCTGAGGGAACACGTCACATAGAAGAAGAAGAAGACGAAAAAGAAGAAGAAAGAGGAAGAAAAAAGAAGAAAAAGAAGAAAAGAAAAAGAAGAAAAGAAAAATAAAAAGAAGAAAAATAAAAAATAAAACGAAGAAGAAAAAGAAGAAGAAAAAGAAGAAGAAGAAAAGAAGAAGACGAAGAAGAAAAAAGAGGAAGAAAAAAGAAGAAAAAGAAGAAAAGAAAATAAAAATAAAAAGAAGAAAAATAAAAAATAAAACGAAGAAGAAAAAGAAGAAGAAAAAGAAGAAGAAAAGAAAAAGACGAAGAAGAAAAAAGAGGAAGAAAAAAGAAGAAAAAGAAGAAAAGAAAAAGAAGAAAATAAAAATAAAAAGAAGAAAAATAAAAAAGAAGAAGAAGAAGAAGAAGAAGAAGAAGAAGAAGAAGAAGAAGAAATGCAAAAATAGATTTTGTTCAGTTTATGGAGAAGTTACTGTGAGAAAGCAAACGTGACAAAAAGGGTTTGTAAGGTCTGCTGGAGATATTTATCTCTGAAAGATCTTCCATAAACGGTTAGACCAATACTTTGTAAAATTTTACAAAATAAGTCAACAAATGACGATGAGGAGAACAGGGAAGAAATTGGTTTAATTTTGATTATTCTAATCCTAATCTTAGCTAAATCCTTTTGTGGTATGCGTATCTTGTGAAGTTTCTATTACACATGCCAAAATTCATTCACCACTCATATTTTCTCAATCGCCATAATAAAGTATTTGCGCTACGGACCTAAAGTAACACTTCATGTCACGTGTTTCGTACGTCATTAGGCTTGTAATGGTAATCGGAATTATAATGTACTGCTAGCTTGATTTTTATATACAGTAATGTTTTCTGCTATTGGCTAAAGTGTTTTTTAATGTTTCGTAATGTACTACTAGCTTGTTTTCTATACAGTAATAGACAAAATTTCTACAAGCGATATAATTTAATTTGGCATCCATTAGCCAAGCAGCAGTTAGTATAGTTTTGGTTGAAATTTACAAAATCTTTCTCTTAAAGCAATTTTCAAAAAAAAACAGCTTTCTCAAGTTCAGTAGCTGTTACTTCTCTCTCTCTCTCTCTCTCTCTCTCTCTCTCTCTCTATATATATATATATATATATATATATATATATATATATATATATATATATATATTCAAAACCTGCGGAGGGTCGTGTTTGGGGACCTTGTGGCACGTACTGCATCAGGTTTCTGTATTCGGCTCTTCAAAAAGTGTGGATGGTCCTGCACGAAACCTTCACCACTATAATCAAATCTCATGTGCTGTTGTCGGGCTGTGGGTTTCCTAGGAACTGATCTGCTTGACCCTCATACGTTGAAGTCGACGAGAGAGTCGAGTATATATATATATATATATATATATATATATATATATATATATATATAATATATGAATGTATGTTTATGCAGTTATTCCTGTTTTTCTTTATTTTTTCTTAAACAGTGAAATTCAAAA